TTAGTCACATGTGTGTGTACACAAAAGTATGTATATCTACAGACACGATGCTTGTATGTATAGTTACTCACAAGAGAGAGGCAACTACGATTTTCTTTCTCACTTCCTCTGACACTTTTCAGCCTGCTATTCCCCTTCCATTTATATATGTTCTAATGGCTTCTGCACACAGGACGCGGAAACGCTTGCCGCGCAGTAAAAGACGACGCGGTAGCCAATCAATTTTTCGCTCTAATGGAAAAGTTGTAAGTTGATTGGCTACCGCGTCGCCTTTTGCCGCGCGGCAAGCGTTTCCGCGTCATGTGTGCAGAAGCCATCAGTCCATTCTATATGTCTATTATGGGTGCGTTCCGTTTCACGCATGAACCGCATGAAACGCAGCATATCGCATGAGCGCATTGACTCGTTCCCTTTTTCCCATCACTCTTACTGCGCATAGAGAAACGGAACAGACCCATGCGCGCTTGGGCTGTTTGTAAACAGACATGGCAGATGAAATGTATGATATTTCTGCAAGCATTCTACAAGCATTGTATATAATATTTAGAGAGAATTTTCTACTTTGAAATATTTTCAGACCTCACATATTCCTAAAAGACGTCTAAAAAACGATTTAAAGATGTCTTATCGTTCTTTAAATATTTTCAAGATGTCTTTTGGCCTTTTCGTGCTGTCTGGGTATAAATGTCTTTTTAATATTATACAATTTTTAATATTTATGGAAAGCAATGGAATTTTAAACGAAATCTCGAAATCGGTCGGTCTCGTAGATAGAAAGTGATACATGATCATTTATCGATGAACGCAATTTTTTGCAAGCTTTGTAGGGGCCGCGCTGTTGTGTCCGCCTACGTGTACATATATTTAGATTTGGAGTTTTATTCAGTATCGGACACGTCGAACATCCACAATTTATCATCAACATAAATTTGTAGCTTCTTCAAAGTCATTTTTTATGAATTTCGGAATCCTATAATTTGTACCACTTTGCAGATAGTTTCCTTCCCGCCTAAATAACTCTCGCGCATGGACCACGCATGGGCTACACCACCTCGGGAGCTGAGGCAGCTCATGCGCTCTCATGCGCTGCACAACATGGCGCGGCGTTGTGGTGGGAGACCGTTCCCATACGCGCATAAACTGGGCATGGATTGAAACGGAACAATCTCGTGCGCTCCTATGCGCATCATGCGAGAAATGGAACGCACCCCTTATATATAACCTTAAGCCCGTATTAGACTATGCACTGAGATTGAAATTTGACCAATCAGAACAAGGAAATTTTAGTTTCTTTTCTCCTAATTGGTCAAATTTCAGTCTTCAACACGTAGTCTGATACGGACTTTAGGATCATCTAAAACCGGGCCGTGGCGTCTCTCAGACTACGTTTACACGTCACCCCTAATCGGGTTTAATAACATTCGTAGTTCTAAGAGTGCCATTACATGGAGCGCGGAAACGCGGAAACGCGGAAACACGGAAGAGAATTGTAACTAGAAAAGTAACTATTCCGCGTTTCCGCGAATTGAGTCGTTTCTTTCCGCACATTTGGGCGGAATCTGCGGAATCCGTTACCGTCTCAACAAAACTCAACAAAAGTGTATAGAAAATATAAAAACTTTATAAATGGATGGTCCTGTAAGTATTTGAATGCTTTTTAGTACTTAATAAACATAGTAGCTTGTTATTTTTGGAGACATTCTGAGATAGTTGAAATATTTTTCAGGATCTCCCAATTGCATCTCCACAAGTAGATTGTCGCTGTCACCTTGAAGAAGTCTTCTTGTCTCAGTAAAAATAGCCGTACCCATATTTTACGGTTCTTTCTGCCTTGCAGTTTCTTGTAACGCAAATATAAAATATACATTAAGGAAACCTTTTTCATAGTTATCTCTGCATATCTCATCGGTTCATCCCGTGCTTATATGAGATACTTCATAATAATCATCAATATGATATTTGCATCCATTATTATACTGTCACTTTTAAAATAATAAAATAATCGAAATATATAAAAAAGTTCTCTGGCCAATCTAAGACTACGTTTCCACGTCACCCCTAATCGGGTTTAATAACATCCGTAGTTCGAAGGCTGGCGAATCACAGTTATTCCATTCTTCAGAGGAATAGCTGTGATTGACCAGTTTCACAACTACGGATGTTATTAAACCCGGTTAAGGGCCAATTTCACCAAGTCCGGTTAGATTAACCGACGGTTAAAATTAGCAGGGTGGCCAACAGAAAATAGAGGTGAAGGAAAACCAAGCATTCTTATCATTTCAGTTGGAACCCTGCTAATTTTAACCGTCGGTTAATCTAACCGAGCTTGGTGAAATTGGCCCTAAGAGTGCCGTGTAACAAAGTTCTCTGGCTTCTCTCTGTGAAAACGAATAATTTATAATGTTTTCTTTTTCTTCTCGTTGAGCTTTCTTTTTTTAATTTTCGGTTTTTGCAACCAGACACAACATAAAAGCTCATGTTTTTTATTATACTTTATATTCTTTGTGTAAAAATGATCACTTGTTGCTGTACTAAAGCTAACGCTAGCAAAAGCTAACCCTTCACGTACGCAGTTATAAATTATAGACTTCCGAATGTTTCCGAGTCCAACCGAAGTTTATCGAATTCACCCACTGATCTATATATCTGGATTGCTGGTAGGCCTCCTGGCGATGTACCAAATTGAAGGTCCGTCATTTTACACGCCCGAGGTGCGCGCATGCGTGATGGTGCTCTAAGTGATACCAATAAGTGCAGATCATGGATATCGCTTAATAAACTTTTTAACAGTTTTTTAACTTTTAACTTTCTTTTTAACTTTGTAATAGCTGCACACGAAAAGGAAGGTCCAACTATGGTAACATTCTCTATATTTGCAAATATTTTATTTGTAACACCCACAAAACATGATTAAGAAATTGTAAATATTAGAAAATAATCCAAAATTCCTCGAATCATGACAAGTTGATTGTATTATCGCAATTAAAACGTATGATAGGAACCTTTATTGAATGTGAATAAAGAATTATTGTCTTATTAAACATAAAATCTTGTAATATTTTGGTCTGTTTTGTGATCTGTTTCATCGTTTAATCCTGATTTTTTAAATTAATAACAAAAATATTACGTAAACGTAAGTTTCAATTACAGTCTTACATAGACCGTGGTTTTAATCAAACTCATTTGAATTTCCCACGCTCGGAGGCAAATTGCCAGGTAAGATGGCGGCGTCCATTTGGGGACGCTTTTGAGTCCTAAGAACAAAGGCGATCGGCCAGTTATATAAAAATCCAGTTATATAAATCAGTGATTCACCCGTTCTTTCCCCTTCCGTCGATTATCCCCCCCCCCCCCCCCTTGTCTGTAACAGTAGCTTACGCTCCGTCTATGATTTTCTTAAGTCTATGATGTAGACAATCTATTATGAAAGTTACAATATAGATCTTCGTAATATTTAATGCTAACTACTTTTAAATTATTTATACCGACAGCAATTTTTTACAATGTATTGTAATTTTTAGTAATGTGTTTAATTTTGTTTAATAACGTAATTATATTTTCGAATAATTGTCAAATTTACAATTTTTATAGTAATAAACACAACAATGCCGTTATATTTCAACTTCACAATAGAATGTCGTAAAAAAAAGAACATTTTTTATCTAATTTATGCTTTTTCATAATATTATTATTAGATTAAAAACAGTCTACATGAAATAAGTATGTATTTATTAAAATTGTGCGATACAGACAAATGAAAAATTTGCTTATAATATCGCTGTTATTCATTATAAACGTTCTTATTATTTAATATTTTATTTAAGTAAGTTAACATTACTTAAATATTAATACTACTAAACTACTACTAATATTATTAATATTATTAGTATTAATATATTATTAGTACTAGTATTAATATTAATAGTACTAGTGTACTCTCACTAGAGATATCACGCTGTTAGATTTCTACTCGAGAGAGTTTTCGATTATTATATATATATTTATAATATTCCATTAATAAATACTGTATAGTACCAAACATGATATACACATAGAGCAAAAGTTTATCAGAGGCAAAGCATATCGAACTATTTATGATGACATTCAATACCATTAATGACCATTAGAGTAATGCTCAGAGGCCTAGTAATTTTTTTTTCCTGTTAACTGTACGTGTACAATATTTATTCAATTTAGTATTCAGCAAATACTATGCAGCAACAGGTTTGAGCAAAACTCCTTGTACCATAGAAAATGATGTAAATGTATAAAAAAGCTATTCAAAGATGATAAAATTTTTAATCAATAATATGTATAACATCATCACTATATTATCTTTCTTTCAAACTTATTGTATGAATACTTGTCCATTAAAAAAAATCCTGTGATAATCTCTAGTAATATATTATAATTAATAAGATTACTGATGCTTTACTGCGTAATATTGAATTATTATATTATAAATGAAAAAATATTATGAAATTATTTTATTGTGTTAAAATTAATTAATTTTTGTCGTACGCCATCACTCGTGTTCGATAGTATAGATTGATGACCAGAATTCTTTTTTCGAGATTCGTTGATTAACAAATAGCTGTAAATCTTAATCAATTGTAAAAAAGTTTATTTCTGTTGGAAATATATGTAGAATATATAGATTTAGTTACATATGAATTTATTGCAAGTAAGCAGCATAATAAAAAAGAGATTTTTCGCAATATTTTACCAATACATATTATTAACGCAAGTGATGATATACAAAAAAAACTAATTTATTTTTATATATTTAGTAAGAAAACAAAATCACTTTTTTGCTTCTGATATCACATTACAATATCGTTGCAATGAGAAACAGGAGCTTTATAATAAGATTAGCAAATTGACTATCTTGATATAACTCATGTTGACTTTATAATTTGACAATTTATAATAAAAAAATATTTTTAGAATATTTTTATAATAAAATTCCTCTTAAGTAATTTTAATAAATTACTGATTATTACCGAATGCATCTGTTGATAATAATTATACAATTCATTATACAAGTCCATTTGAAACCTAATCATATATACTAAGTCAAATTGTTACACATAAGTGAGATGTTCAGTATTGGATTTTTTTTTAGCTCTACAAACAAGACAATAAATAATAATAATATTAATAAATTGACAATATCTCTGTGACAATCATACCTTTAATGAGATATATTGTTAAAAAGATAGGCTACATGAATTTAAACAAATCCCTTATGCTTTTAACCAAGTGAATCAATAGCTGTAGTATTAAGACCATTCTGGTTAATAGTAGTCTTAAATTGTTCTGGTACCGGATATTCACTCTGTAATGTGATATATTTATATAATTGCGAGAACTACGAACGAACATCTGCGAATTAATAGAAAAAAGAAACTTACATAATCTCCATTGGCTTTGGGTACCATAACATTCATTTCACTAGATTTGCTAGTAATAAGTTCAACATTCAGAGATTCTGTGTTTAAATACATTTGACAACCGTCCGTTTTGTCAATGGAAATTGTAGGTACCTTCCCAAGAACCTGTAAGTATATAAAAAAGATTCTATTGTTAAAAATTAGGATTATATACTGGTATAATATCCCCAACCCCCAACATTCAGAGAAACTAGCAATATATTCAAAATGAATAACAATTGCTAGTGCACGCTAACTTCTCGGGTTTGTTGAACATTATGTTGAACATATCGGTAATGGAAGATTTGACAGTTCTTTGAATTTTATACACAATTTATCTATATTAGTCGAACAAAATCGTTTATAAAAATGCCGTGGAAAATTGGTGAGATGGCTTTTATATTGTTTACATTAATACCTTAGATTTAAAACAATCTGTACTGAAGAAATCTATTTTCCAAAGAATTCAACGAATGGAAACCTTTAGGTGGAAATTTCGAAACTGTAGCAGTTACATGTGAAAAAACTTGGAAGGAATGTGTAATCGCGGTGGCAAATTATTTATGGTGCGAAGTGGTGTCCGATGTCGTTGATTATTTAACAAAAGAAGAAATGATATGGGTAAGAAAAGCAACATAATTATTCTATACATTATTAACAAACAATTAAATTTTTAAATTTTGTTTCAAAATTTTTTTTAAAATATGAATTATTTTTCTCAAAATTTTTGTTAAATTTAGGCTTTCTCTAAAGTATCAAGTTATTCTCAAGAATAACTTTGGATTGTACTTCACATTTCTCTAATATTTAAAGGTTCTTGTGACAGCGATAGCCATCGCTTCTACGATACTTATCCGTATGAAATATTGCAAAAAGATACATGCGGAAAATATTGTATTAAATAAACAAATATTAAATAAAGTTGGACATAAAATTCACGATTTAGAATTGAAGATCAATGTCTTAACATATAAAATGCAATATGGAACATGGCCATTACCACATCAAATCTACAATTTAAATCCGAAAAAAATGCGGAAGAATAAAATGACATTACCCAACCCGAATGATCGGAAAAAGCATGTGTCTCAAAAGTACATAAAGAAGTTAAAAATATTAATTAATTAATTTTCAATAAATTAAATTAAGAAATAGTAAACAGACTTCGTTTATGTGTATGCAATAATATTATGTTTCAGTCATGTAAAAAGCAATATGTATACACTCCTTATTCGAACGCCTTTGTTTTATTCTTAGTAAAACTGATTAATCTTTTTGACATAGAGAAAGTAATCTTTTAATCTTTTTGACATAGAGAAAGTAATCTTTCTAAAAATGAAGATTCCATATTACAATGGCAAAATGTACAATTTTTACCTTTAAATTTGAGCGAAATTAATCGTCAATTTTCAAGAACGCTCTTAACACAGAATGGCAAATATTCAACATACTCGATGAACAATACATATAATTTATGCCAAAAATTCACAGATACTGTCCATAAATGTAAATCGTTTCTTAAAGAATTGGAATATAACAATAAACGTTTACATTCCTTGAGTAATTCAGAAATTTCGTCAGAAATGAGTAAAGCTTCTTCTTTGAAAATTGCTGATTCGGCAAAACAGGTAAGATTATTAATCACTATATTTGGATCAGCTGGCAAATAATTGTGTATAATCTAATAATTTTATATTTTTTATATATTCTAGATAGCTTTTGTTATGACAGAAAAAAGGGAGGCATCTCATGATGCTTATATAATAAAGAAAGAAGAAAAAATAAACAAAATGAAATATATGAAAAAGGAAAAGGACAAAATGATACAAAATGTTACAGAACTATTTAGTCAAAGTAATGTAAATATATCTACTGACGTTGCAGTTTTAACGAATAATGATGCATTATCGAAGGAATTTGTTTCAATTTTTCCAATAAGTCAACCAACGCATAATGTACAATCTTCCCGGGAAATTCTATATGAAGTTAAAAAAAGACTGCGCAGTTTACATAATGTGTTGCGAACCTATCAGGACATAAGCCGATCTTCGGAAAGACATAAGTCAATAGATAAAATCAATGAAATCGATGCATTTACATCCATTGAGAAAACTGATGAAAATAAAATCGATATAAATTGCAATGGCGATTCAAAGGAAAATTTGCCGCGAATACAATGCTCGGTTGTAAGCAGTTCCGAATATTTTGAATTTGATTGCTCAGAAGAAAGTTCATCTTCCTTAACCGAATATTCATCGGATATACCTAAAGCGTATCAATATTCCAATGATGTCATATTGCAAAATGAAGATATAACAAAAACAACTTTATTTAATCGTAGAAAAAAGATACCCGAGGTAGTATCGGGAAAAATATGCTACATTTCATCACCCGAATCTTTTGAAGATCAAAATATTCAAATCCAAAATAAAGTATCTTCAATTAAAAACTTTACTACTAAAAAATATAGGGATGTATTTGATATAGAACAATGCCAAGAGAATGTAATAACATCTCAAAAAAGCGGTCGAAATAAAATATCAAACGATAGCGACAGAGAAGAGAGATCTACAACATTATTGCTTCAAGAAGCTTTACATTTTAAGAAAGCCTTATTAACACGTGTTCAATCAAAAAAAGAGTGTCCAATAGATAGTATAAAAGAGAACAATGTCAAAGATGAATTTTTGTCGGAATTAAATAATAATAATTTTCCTTCCATAGTAGTAGATATCAAATTGGAAGAACCAATTACTAATGATTCTCATGACAAAATTAATCAATGTTATATTTATTTAGAAATGAAACAACGACGCGACTTATTTCCTGAATATTTGCAAAAAGTAAATGCATTCACGCATCATGAGAGCAAAAGAAATATAGAGAATCAAAATTGTATTTTCGAAACACCTTCGCAATATTTTAGCATCACCAATTTGACAATTCCTAATAATAAAGTTGGAAATAATGTTTCTTTGAAGCCTCCAGTTTATGAAAAAGTTATTTCAATCGTGATACCAGTCAGGCTAGAATGTCAAAGTGAAATCGATATAAATGAAAAATTAATCCAAACAAAAACTGTTTTGAGAAATATCCAGACTCGTGTAAATCCGCAAAAAAATTTCAGAAAGAACGTCGACAATATAGATAACAATGTAGCCGATAAACATTCACCGACGATGCTAAAATTCGAAGATCTTATATTAGAACATATTAAAAACATCAGAGATTACATAGATACTTTTCTTCAAAGCCAAAATAGAGCAATCTCCAAAGCGCGCAAAGTGCTTCAGTACCAAAGTAAACGCCATATTTTACGATGTTTAAATGAAACAAGTCACATAGTATTACACAATAGATTGATTGCACCATCTAATTGCAACAGCAATGATCACATCGTTAATTCTTTAAATTCATCTAATCTTTTATTAATAAATGCAGAACCAAATTATAAACAGCAAATTTCTATCAAAGATAATATCTTAAAATGCTATTCAGACATGTGTTTAAGAAGAAATCCAGGAATGTTTGTACCTATAACTCCTATTAAGGATAAGTTCTCTAACAGAAATACTCAGCACTTAGCAACAATAGAATTAAAAAGAAAAGAAGCTGATTTATATCGTCCAGTAACATTAAAATATTACTATAAAAATCGTTCAAAATCTACAGACAATTTGGATTTGGAAAAATATATTATGACAGATATAAAAAACGGTAAAATAAATAAAAAACAGAATAGTTGATATAAGTGTGAATTTTCAGAAATGTGAGAAACAAACAAATCGTTAAAAGTAAATCCTCAGTAATATTATATGTTCCACTTGATGTTGTAACAACTGCAAAAATTGTTGAAATGCAAATATTGTTAATGCGATAAATATGTGACAAACTTTAACCACTACAATTCAATCTTCTGTACCAATTCATGCTTCACAAAAAAATAATAATGTGAAAATAGTATATAACATATTTTTTACGTCTCTATCAAATGTAAAACGTTCACATGCACAAAGTTGAATTTTCCAAAGAAAATAAATCAAAATATTATTAAAAGACAAATCTCCAAAAATGAATATCCAGATACAAATTTAGTAATTTGCTAAAAAAATTATATGTTAAATTTCGTATATTCGAATTTGGCGAAACTTGTTGACTCAAATTTCATTTTAAATAAAAATCAGGACATAATTATTTGATGCAAGAACAACTAATACAGAGGAAAAACTAAACACAAATGCCATCAAATAATTTCAAATAAAATAATGAAATATCTATAAACATTGCACATTTATCGTTTCTAACAGAAAATTATTCAATAGGATATTTATTGCAGACACAAATTGTATTCCCAAATTAAAATTAAAAGTAATATATATTCTTAATAACAAGTATAAAAATAAGAATTTAAATATCACAACTTATATCTAACTAAAAAGATCACATTCATTTTTTATGACACCTTGAAAGATAACCGGAGAAAATTGCATCAAACTTATACAATAATAAAAATAAATGTATAAAAAATAAGTTATAATCTACAACTCAAGCTAAATATACTATATCACAAAGCATATCTATTACATCTTTCATACTATTTTAAAAAATCGTTTAGAACTTGCCAAATAAAATATCAAGTATCCATTAACATACAAGAATCCATTAATTATTTATGTGCTACAAGGAAAAAAAGGCTCGTATAAAAAATCTCATAAGAGATGAGGAAATTGTGCAAAGAGATAATGTCTTAATAAATAAACATTTGTATGTAAAGGAAGCTTTATCAATTAAATTAAATACAAAAAAAAAAAACGAATCTGTTAAGGAATTGGAGAAATGTAATACGACACACCAAGATAATAATGTAATATCAAAGGAAGATTCAGAGATTCTATCTCTAATGAACAAAATGTAAAATTCTTAGCAATTGACAATAAATATTCAGATAAAATATCTATATATGGTAATAAATCAAATATAAAAATAAGCATATATAAAATATAGCTCTGAAGAGGCAGCTATTATGTCTATTACATCAAATGAAAATCTATGGAAAAATTATTCAATGAATTCATTTATTTTGAAAACAGAGAATGTCTACTCTATGACAGAACTAGTACACAAAGACAAGATATAGATTATTGGAACCAGAAAATAAAATTACAGCCAAATATTCCATTACAGATGCATATACATCAATCTCCAACTTACATTATACAAGTTGACATGTACAATATTTGTCTAATCACTATAAATATTTTTAAAATTTTTGTTTATTGCATTCTCTTTTAAAAGAATATATTTTTCTAAATAATTTTTACACTTTTATACATTAAATCATATTCAAAATATTCTATGCAAATATTCTAACAAAATTAAGAACGCCAGAAAAAACAATTTCTCATGACAAAAAGAAAGTTCCTTCTTATATCAACATTTGGCAATATTATTTTTTAAGCATGATTGATGATTTCTATGTTATCTTTGTTTAAAACCGTGATATTATAGCATACACTATAGTAATTAGCATACACTAGTAAAAAATATTGCATCCATACATACCTGCATTTGTATGCTTTGACAATTAACGAATTCAATACTGGATACAAGAGAATCAAATACAACGGATGATTTACGACAAGAATCCATAATAATGGAATTTACTTTGCCTTTAATAGTAAGTGTACTATCTTGACATCGAAACATATAAATAACATTATTCATTTCCACATTATCGATTACTAAATTTTCTCCTTTGTGATACTCCTATAAAAAAAATGTCTTTAATATACATATAATAATGCATAAATTTATATGCATACAAATAAATAAATAGATATTTATTTATTTAATTATTTATTTAAAATATTAATTACTTACCACAAGCCATTTTTTACCATCTCGAGTAAAGACTGGTGGTTTGTCAATAGGTACATTCGCCGATAACACATTTTTTATCGGTATCATATTAGTAACTGCTGGTGCTTTAAATGGTGCAGGTCCGGATCTCAAAGCAGGATTTTTATGCGTTTGCATATCTGAAGTAACTTTTTTCAAATCTATGATATAAATATTAAATATCGTAATGTGCACAAAGATTATAAGATCATAAAAAACGAAATTATAAAAAGAATGACATACAACAGCAAAAAAAATAAATAAATATTTACTTTTCGTGATATTTTCTCCTTGATTGATCTGAGCAAAGAGGGCGCTTCTGTCATCATTTATCATCGATGAAATATCTTCAATTGGCATCGAGGGAGGTGGAGGAGGTGGTATACCCACAGGTGCAATACTAGTTTTTCCCCATACTAAACCTGTTGTATGATGTTGGCGAACGTATTGTTGCAGATCGGTCAACGTTTGTACCCACGTTTTACACCAATCTATGTGTACTTTATCCCTATAGATAGCAAAAATTATAGCGCTTGGATTTTTATTTGAAATTTTGAAACAAATAACTAGAAAAATTTTACTTTTCCTTCCAATCTTTCAATACACGATTGGTATAAAATTGACCAGCGTCATTCATTTCTTTTATATATGGAGCAGGTGTAGGAGACACAGCAACCCATCCTAAAGCCGGAATACTTTCACTAATTGCCGATAAGTGATTAAAGAATGGAGATCCACGATTTCTTTCGCGAAATTCTTGAATCTGCTGAATCTGCACAGACATAGGCGCAAGCAGAGATATTTGTTCAGATTGATTTACCGGTGCAGTACGGTTTGCCGCCGTTTGCACGAATTGAAGTTGAATTCTAAAATTAATCAAAATATATTTATTAATATAATATAATATATTTTATAACATATTTATATGTGCATTTAATTATACAATATTTCATCAAGTGAAAATACTAACTGGAAAGCCTTCTCCACAAGCTTGCTATGAATAGCTACATCACCACCAATCTTTTGGCTTAATTCTAAGTATTTTTTGACTGGCCCACTCAAAAGATCTTCATATCCAGCTATAGACATGTTTATTGGCTGATTCAAAATTATCTCTGGCTTCGTGGATTTCTTGGGAGAAGATATATTTGTTTGTACAGCAGTGTCTTGAGTTTGGACTGCACAGTGTACTTTTTCGAGTCGTCTTGTTATGTTTTCCAGCCGGTTCAGAGATGTTCTTCTTTGTCACCACTCTCACAATCTGTAATTTATTTTGCAAACAAATGTATTGATGCTTATATAGATTTTAACAATAAAATATTATTCGTTCACTTGCGTTTAATCATAAGAATAATATAAAATTAATAAATAAACAGTAAGAGAATAAAGAGTAATAAAATTGTTTTTCAAGGAAATTCGAAAACATTTGAAAATCTCAAATACTTGAAATGCTTCATCGAGTACTTGGAACACGTTCATAAATAATTATTAGCATAATCCAACTGTCACGTTAAAAATAATATGTAAATATACAGGGTGTCCCAGAATTCGCGCACACGGAATGCATAGCGTGATTGTCCGTGCCAAAAGAAACAACTTTTTTCTCTGGAAAAATTACATCTGAATAATACTTTTTAAATAAGAGTAATTTTAAGTTAACGAATGAGAGCTCTAGGTCGCATGAATCAGGAACGGCGCGCGAACGGCGTACGTGGCGCGTGAGCGTGTTGTACGCTATTTTATTATTTCGCTAAAGATTTTATAAGAATTATATCATTTCCTGTGTAACGGTTGCTATTGCACAATGAAGCTGTTCTTCTAACTCTTCTAGTGTTTCCACAGGATTTCGGTAAATAAAATTTTTCAAATTCTTGGGTTGGCTGAGGTGGTCCCGTCGCATGACCCGCAAGATTGCTTGATTTAAACCCACTCAATTATTTTCTATGGAGTAATCTAAAAAATTTTATTTACCGTAATCCTGTGGAAACACTAGAAGATTTGGAAGAATAGCTTCATTGTGCAGTAGCAACATAAAAAAATTAAACATTATTAAACATTTAATCGGTCCTTATCAGGATATAAACATTTTTAGAATGTTGGAACAATAATCTTGTATCAAAATTATTCACATGTTATCTAATCTACTTATTTTACTTCCGATCGTTGCTTCGGTGATATCAATTAGAAAATGTTCTCTTATTAAGTAAGTTGTATTCAAAATAGCGATATTTAGATATCATGCATAATTCTTATAAAATCTTTAGCAAAATAGTAAAATAGCGTACACACACGCTCACGCGCCACACATGCCGTGCGCGCATCGCCCCTGATTAATGCGTAACCAGAACGCTCATTCGTTAGTTTAAAATTGCTCTCATTTAAAAAATATTGTTCAGACGCAATTTTGCCAGAGGAAAAAGTTGTTTTTTCTGGCATGGATAATCACGCTGTGCATTCTGTGTGCGCGAATCCTGGGACACCCTGTATATGTATGTAAATATACAGGGTGTCCTAAAAATAACGGACTTCCTCTTAATGGCAGATTCCTTAGAACATTTCAAGACGAAAATCCTAATACAAAAATGTCGAGGCTATAATAGTTTTTAAACGGGAAGCGATTATATTTTACGAATGACAGGGCTAAGATTTCGCGCGTTCAGGTACGGCGAAATAACAAATGAGAAAAAAGGCGCTTCATTCATAGAGCACTTTTATATATACATACATATATATACATATATATATACACATATATCATATATATATATATATATATATACATATATATACTTATATGTGTACAGGATGTTTTATATAAAGTGTTACAAGATGTTTTCTCTGAAACCTGATGTCATACAAAAAATATTTCAGACAAACTTTATAAAAGATTTTGAGAGCCAAAAAAAATTAATAATATTGAATTTTAATTAAGATTATTTTTTTAAGGTCAAGGAAAAGTTAATCTACTTTTTTTTAATGCAACCATCCTAATTTTTTATATAAATTGATTTCTCCCAATATTAGATGTAAAAAGATATAGGAGTAGGATGACCAAAAATTGAATAATTCACAAGATATTTTATATTTTAATTTCATAATTTTACATTAAACTATAAAATAATTTTACATGAACTATAAAATATCTCGTAAATTATTCAATTTTTAGTCATTCTATCCTTAAAGAACTTTTTAGGCAGAATATTGAAGGGAATTAATTTATATAAAAAAATTAGAGTAGATCCATTTAAAAAAACTAGGTTGATCTTTTCATAACTTTTGAAAAATGATCTTATTTAAAATTCAAGATTATCAGTTTTTTTCCTCTCAAAATCCTATAAATTTTGTCTGAAACATTTTTTTGTATGATGTCAAGTTTTGAAAAAAACACCTTGTAACACTTTATGTGAAACACCCTGTTATATACACACATTTAATTTAATTTTTTTGTTAAAATATTATCTGCCTTGTAAAAAATCCTGCAATGCTTTTTACCAGTGGTGTTGCATTTATTAGATTTTCTGAAAATTGGCAAGAAACTGAAAGATATCTCAAATGATGTCCGCGAAACGTGAGAATACTCCCGACTATTATTAGAAAAACCGTTTTAATATCTCATACAAATATATTTATACTTACACACATAAATACGCGCAACAAATCATTTATAATGTAATATAATTGCAATATGGGTGAGGCAAATAAAACGTTACAAGCTAATAACTCTAAAAATATTTGTCGAATCGAAAAGTTGTTCATGAGAAAGTTTCATGTATTCGAAGGACCTCTCTAACTATGTAAACATAAAGTCGTCCCCGCTCCCTCTTTAAGGGAGAAGGGGATAATTTTATAATTTTAAATGGAACCCCCTATAAAATGTTACATATTTAGATTCTATGAAAAAAAAAAAGTAAATTTTATCTGAAACACTTTTTTTTGAAAAATGCTTTTATCAAAAATTATAAGCATTTAATAAGCATTATATAAGCATTTAAACTTTAAAGTAAAGTGCATTCAAACTAATGATAAAATCATAAATTAAATAAAAGACCATAATTTGTTTTTTACTTTATTAAATGTTCGAACTGTTGTCTATTCTCACCTAAACATTTATTAATACTTTCTACAAAATTTTGTCTAACTCTAAACAATATTTCTGGAGTCATGCTAACGCAAACTTTGTAGAAAGAATTAATAAGTGTTTAGATGAGAATGGACAACAGTTCGAACATTTAATAAAGTAAAAAATAAAAAAACTATAATCTTAAAAAGATATAAAAGTAAGGCTCTTACACGATTAAAATCAAGTAAAATCCGAGTAAAATGGCAAAAGAGCCACGCGCAGTTTTTAGGGCGCAAAGGTATATAATTTAAACCAAATAAATTAAGAAATTAGAGAATTTCTTTAATTACATGATTCGCGAAAGGCGGACGTTTCGGCCCTTTTTTTGGCCATCATCAGCGCAAATAATACTAAACTCAACAATATAAACGGTATACAGAAAGAGTCTTAATCAATTAAAGCGCAGAGTTACATGGTAACCAACGGTAGAAGGCGTAATCCCTCATGTCGCTCCAAAAGGCAAAAACCATTCTCCATGTAGTCCATGTTATTTCGGGACAGAAACCTCGATTCTTTAAGCATGAATCCATAAACATGGTGATACGTTAATAATTGTGTAGTGTAAAATCAAAGTAATAAATAAATAAATATATATGAAAA